GCACCAGCACTATAACTCCCCCAGAGGAGATTGTCGGGTCAGTTGACCCCGTAGGGAAAAAAATAGGAGGTGTTTGTATCTTGAGGATTGTTTACCCCGTGACGTAAGTCCGTGCAGCATGACCCGCAAAATCCGGAACTGGAAGTATATTTTTTTATTTTTACTATATTTTATTTATGGCCTCAATGAGCTTAATGACAGTTTATCATTCATGGCCCATTAAAAATATATGAATGGCCAGACTGTCCCTTCACAGTCACTATAGTCAGATTGAAGTGTATCAAATTGAGTGCTGAGTATAACATGGTTAGTTGAAAGGTCCTTACACGCATGCCTAATTTTCAGGCGTATACTTTACTTCTCTAAAAGCTACAAAGATTTTGGTAACAGCATTCGCAGATCTAGGAGCACGCAACTATGCGCAAAGCATATTTTCAAAAGGTAAGTATCGACATAATCGTTCAGCACTGACGCTTTTTCGAACGTGAATATCGTCGTTCCTCTGACGTTCCTCTCTCAATTTCTACATGAGTCCTGCTTAACATATAAATCCATTCTGTCTGGGGCTCACGGGAAAATTGAGATACGCTCTCACGGCAAAGGAGCAACGATGCGATTGGAGACTTAAACGCTGAGTAAGAAAAGTAGACAAATGCGTAATAACATCGTCGGCAGTCATTTGATATGGCAATTTGCCGAGCATGATTCATAGAGCAACTGTTCGTGCCTAAGAGGTATCTTCGTAGTATAATGAACGAATTGAAGGCACTCTGTCACTTTTGATCCGGAAAATTTGACTAAAAATTCGGATTTCCCGTCAAGTACTCCCGGCTCGGGAGCCGAGAGTACTTTCAGGGAAATCGAAAAAATCGATCGAACAGGAGCCGGAACCGAGTTCGCATTATTTAAGCTACGTTTAGGCTCGGACTGGCCATAAGGCCAATTTGCCATTGGCAGGTACGCCCCCTTGGCGAGCCGAAAACGCGCCCCTCTGACTGCAGATAGTAGAAGAAGAGGAGAAAAAAATTACGACCGAGAAAATATACGGAAAATTTCTTAAATGAACAAAAGAAGAGAGAATAAAAAGTAAAGAAAGGTGCTCGTGCGCAAGATGTTTAAGAAATACTTTCTGTAGCGGAAGCACTTTTCTGTGAAATTTTCACTTTTTGGTTGACTTACAGGCGCATTATCATCCCGTGCTTCATCCGCTATCTGTAACTCCCTTAGAAGCGATGGTCGATTCGGTTTTTAGACGTATGGTCCTTCAGCTCTTGAGAGACCTTTCAATATATTTCTTCCTTTTCGAAATGACTATTGATTTAGAAATACCATAGCATAATTCAAGCAAACTTAACCTTAACTTATCTCAGATTTCAAAAATATGAGACATCTAAACGCGATACGACTATTCGCGCAAGATGGATGACCACATTGCATTTGACACAGCCCTGCGTTTTTTTGGTCATGTCGTGTTGCACGGCATGTATTAATTAATTCTTACGTATTTTTTTGCGCTGAATTCGGGAAAAATATCCAAAAAAACTCCATCACGTCGGGATTTCCTGCAAATTCAAAATTTTGGTTTTTTGGTGGGAAAATTTCCAAAAATTGAATTTTTATTTTTTTTTCCAATTCGGCCATTGCTTTTGGTCTGTAGTGTCTCTACTACTTCGCGCGGCGGGAAGAAGCCGCGAGCCGCGTGGAGCTCTCATGACATCTCGGCGCCGCCCGGGCCTTCCTCTTCCCAATATTATAGAAACTGGTTTTTACTTTTTCTGGTGATTAGTGGATACTAACGGACGGAAATTATGAGAAAGTGAATTTTTCCGAGTCGTATTTATACAAATTTTGACCGGAAAACGATTTTTTCGGGAATAAAAATCACATAAAAGAACATAAAATATGACAAAATTAGGACAAGTATCACTCTTTGAGATCAATTTGTGACGTCAATACCTATGTGAAAAAAAATAAAAATTCAATTTTGTGGAAATTCTCCTCCCCCCCCCCAAAAAAAGAAACAAAATTTTCAATTTGCGGAAAACCCTGACGTAATGGAACTTTTTGGATATTTTTCCCGAATTCAGCGCTGAAAAATACGAGAGAATCAATCAAGACATGCCGTGCAACACGACATGACCTAAAAACGCAGGGCTCTGTAATTTAAGGCGCGATTGCGTGAGTCGTGAACTCTCAATGCTCTTTTTTATGCTGCCAGTAAGATTCGGAAGATAAGTTAAAAAACGAGGCCCAAATACGATCATATGTCCCCTACCTATCTTCGGCTGCGTTACTCTCGTAGTCCTTGAAGCACCACTACAAATAAGACAAACGGAAACCAACATGCATAATATGGAAACAGAGGGAGGAAAAGGATGCGCGTTTACGACGGCGCAGAGATACAACTATTCGAACTTGATGGACGTCCGTGCTGCATCTGAAAAATTGAAGGCACGATGACGCGATGCCTGAACTCTTAATGCTCTGCTACATACTGTCCATGAGGTGCCGCTCGGAATCGGGAGAGTAGTTGTAAAAGAGGCTTGAATACGTCCCTCCCTTCGGCTGTGTTGATACTCGTTTCTTTCTTCTTTTTTCAGGTTTATGTCTGAGTCTTTTTCAGGATAGATTTGCAGACCCATGTCTTAAGCTCGTGCAAACCGCGGCACTGGCTCGGTTTTTTTGGGAATAATGGTGCTTGGATACGTCTAGTGGCATTAATATTTCATTTTTTCTTTAATTTCAGAAGTCTGTCGGTCACTTCAATACGTTCAATTTTCCAATTTTTACTCTGCACGATTAAACAATTTTCAACTTGAAAATAGCGTAAACTAGTGCTGTTTTGTCAAAATTGTCTGGACCTCCCTCCATGTAGGGGATGCTCTACCGGGAAATATCAAATTACGCCCCCAGATGCGAGTCAGTCCGACCCTGGCCACGTTCGCTTTCTTGGATTTTAAAATTTTGGAAATGTGCGACTCAAAACGTGATACTAAAACTCTAGCTCAGATTCGGATCCCTCGTAAAAAGTCGATGCAATACGATGAATCATATGTTAGCATAGGATGGAAGAAAGAGGGAAAATAGGCGTACAGATTATATAATTTGGGTAAATAAGCACAGAATTACTTACCCCTTTTATCTATGCCGCCAGCTGATCGAAATCTAAGTGCCACGACTGGTGCCGGCGGTTTCGACCCATTGAATATTAATAAACATTCCTCTCACTCATTAGCTGATCCACTCAGTACATACCCATGTTGCCAATGTTTAGCCTCTTTCCTTCATGCCCACACCGTATATCGACGGCATGAGTCCGCAACCACATTGAAAAAAAAATCTCGGTGTATTTACTAAGAAAAGGGTAAAATTACAAAGAATTCAGGGTTCTATTTGATCCCAATTTTTTCTCGGTAAAATTACCATTTATAAAATTGGTAATTTTACCGAGAAATCTCGATAAAGTTATCGAACTTTCTCGGTGACTTTACTGGACCTTGGTAAAAACGCCAATTTTTACTATCGACCATGGTAGAATTACCGAGATAAAATGGCAATAAAGTTACCGGGAATCGATTACCAATAAAAGTGGTATTCTTACCTGAAAAAACAGTAAAAATATCGGTTTTTAGGTAAGTTTACCAGTCTGTCCTGGTAAAATCACCAATCATTAGTAAAAAAGTGAGATGGTAAAAGTACCAACAGACCTTGGTAAAAACGCCGTGCGTTCAGTGCACGTATCTCGATTGCGGTGTTTGAAAATCTCCGCTCCTAATTTATTTTTTGAAGGAGAAAAAAATCGACATCATATACAACAGCGAAACACAACCCTGGCTTTAGCGCTCTTAAACTAAGTTAGTTTTTTGCATTTTATTGTTGATTTGGGTTCCTTTTGTTATTTAGTTAAATTATTCCTGCTTCTTAATTTTTATTTCTTATGCAAAAATTATCTTTTTGCGAAGTACAATCCTGGCTTTAGCGCCCTTTAACTACGGCCTTAACGGTTGAACCTACAGTGGCGGCACAGGAAAACCGAAAAACAACGCGAGGACGCTACTTCAATATTAAACTTCCATCGCCTTGCTAAGGCGCAGGGATACGACTATTTGAACTCTGCGGAACGCGTGAGGTATCACGCTTCATTTGAAGGCGTTTTCGAATCTTCTGTATTTACATGACGATCGAACCTAGGGTCAACTGTTGGTCTAATTTCATTACGTGAATGCAGAAGAAAAACGGGGTAAAAAAACACTAATGTGTGATCAATTTTCAAGGACAATTCTGTAACTTCTCTTACGATTTTAAGTAGATTAAAACGCTTAATATCCAAAATCTAAGCTTAGATTCGAATTCCTGGTGAAAAATTGATGCGATTTCGTGTATCATATGTTAGCATAACATGAAGGAAAGAGGTTTAACCGGTTTAACAACGCGTATAGATTCTGTCATACTGCCCCTTTGAACTACGCCGCGCCGGCGCTAACAAAAAGCGTTCGGTTTCGTCCCGAGGAATTCCTCACGATAAATTCTTATTCTTCCTCCTCCGCTGACCCACTGAGCCACTGGTACTACCCATGTTGCCACGTTGGATTCATATGCTCAAATCAGTACGCCTAAGTTACGTCTCTTTCCTTCACGCTATGCTCGGGTATGATACATTAAATTGCATCGATTTTTAACGAGGAATCCGAATCTGCGCTTCGATTTTGGGTATCACGCGTTTTAAGTCAAATTTTTTAAATTAAAGAATCAGAAATGACGGACGTGGCCTAAAATGCTTTTGCGGCTCTTGTTCCATGGATTTTTCTGAAAATCGGTGTCTGGTGGTACTTTTCGACGAGAAACTCGAATTTTTATTTAATTTTTGAAAATTCAAAAAAGGTTTCGAAAGTGCTGCACTCTGCCTAAGTATGTGATAAACATAAACATTCCCCTGATTCCCTTCCAGATCCCCTCCTTCCCACAGTTCCCACATGATTTTTAACATAACCTCAAAAATAATTCGTTAGTAATTTGTTTACATTCTCCAAGCTGACCATCTGAGATTTTTAATCTTCATTTTTTGTTAAATTCATCTTAATTTATGATTTAAACTGTTCAAACTTCACTAGAAGTTTAAAAATTCTCGAAGAGCCTTGTTTTTTTTATCATCTGTAAAATCATTTGTCGGCTTTCAAGTTACTAGTCTAACAGCACAGAGTTGACGTTGTGATCCCCTCCTGTATTCTACTGCCACTCAGTAGTTTCCTCCTGTTTTTATTTGTTTTTGCATCGATCGTTCAGTTCTAAGTTTATTACAGAGAAAATGGTGAAAATCATACAACAAGAGACATTTGACACTGTTGTGAGGGAAAACATTGAGGAATTTGGTCTGTCAGCGGAGGAGGCTATTGAGGATGCAGAAAAACAGTTCATAGCTCAGGTAATGTCTTTATTCAGGAAAATAAAAGAAATAACCATAACAACCAATGAGTAAGTCCACCTCACCGAGATTATTCTTCAATGATACGTCTGGACACCCACTCAAGACAAATGATCAGTAGAATTGTTAAGTAACTCACTTGCATGTTAAATACTAATTTGTGAATGCGTTTCACCGGCAGTCGCACTGAGGATGCCGGAGTTGCAAGCCGGCGAAACGCGTTTGCAAATTAATATTTTACGTGCAAGTGAGTTTTTTAACAATTTTACTGCGATTATTCTTGTCAGGTTTGTAGTTATGAATTTTGCTCTCTAGCTGTGCATTGTCACATTATTTACTTGAATTGCAAGCCGCTCAACAGCAAGCTAATCATTGAACCTGACAGGCAAAGAATACAAAAGGAAAATGAAGCAATCCTATAGATTGATTGGCTCTTGTGGTCAAAGGGAGAAAATGATGGACCCACTAGGTATGTAATCTCTCTCGGGTTGCTATTAGCTAGCTCAGTTCTTACCTCCTTTGTCTATTGCAGCCTCTAACTTCTATCAATAAGGCCGCTCAATTTTTCCGTTTCTTTTCTTTTGCCATTGCTCTGTTTATCAACTAATAATCAGCCTGCAGATAGGGGAACTTTCTTGCGCAATAGCACCACAGATTTCGCAACAGTTTTCTTATCATATTGATTAGATTTTTTCTCTCTTCCAGGGCATTGATCTTAGCAACATAATCAAAGATCTGTACTTAAGGAAAGATGAAGACCCCCTCTTAGTTGCTCTGGAGCGAATCAAGGATAATATCGAAACTAGCTCTACTGATGGATTAGAAGAAGCTGTTGAGAACCTAAAAAATGAATGCCGAAAGGATATTGCTCGCAAAATACTAGCAGGAAAAAAAGGAGCTTACAACCTCCTGCTGAATGTTTTGACTAAATTTAAAGAGGACAAGATTCAAGTAGCATCATTGGCAGCACTTGTTGCTTTAATGACAGGTTTGGCGTTATTCAGTTTTCCAGGATCAAAATTTATCAAAATATGGTGGGATCTTCCATGGCAAAAAAAATCATTGTTCTCAAGAATGACAAATATTTTGATTGTGTGCTATCCTCCAATTGATGAAATCGAAACTCTTTTAATTAGATTGTAGTTGAATAATTAACATATATGAGTTCATTTAAGCTGATGTAGAAGAAACAAAAAACAATTAAAATCCAAGAAAAGTGATCAGAATTTGAACGGTTTGCTATGTGAAATTACTTGTGTAAATACTATGCCAATGTCAATGTAAATTAAAAAGCAATTATAAGAAAGGATTGAGGATTCTTACGTAATTTCTTGAAAACTTCTGGAATTTTCATTCTTTTTTTTAAAAACATATATAGTTTTCAAGTCTCAAACATTTGGAAGGTTTTATTTTCCTTGCAAATCATGAAGTAGAAGTAATTTAGCTAGCAATCATAAAGTATAGATAGAATTTTAAGAAAAGTTAAAATTTACAATTTTCTTGCACTTATTTACACATGAAAATTGCATTCACAAATTTTAATTTGCATTCATGAGTGTTTATAATTTCAAAAATATATTAATTTTACTTACTGTCATTCATAGCGTGTGCAGTGTCTTAATTTATTCATACTGTATGAAGTAAAAATACACCATATCGTTGTACAATGTGCAAAACCCTCAAATATCTCAAAATTTCCGTTTCTATTTTATTTTTTCAAAGAGAAACAAACCAACCTTCCAGCTTGAAATTTATGCAGAATATTCTGTGTACAGAGATGGAAAATCAAGAAAGTTTCGGAAAAATCATGTTGATTAGTTTTCCAAAGAAAAAATTAAGTACCTATGACATATAGTCTGCAGCGTCGCAAAAAGAGATACCGGGTCTTGAACTTTGGCCATCAATTTTTCTAGAGGCAAACCATTACTTAGTAAAGCTTTACATACACAATTTTTTATCATCCGAGAGGCAGCTTTTTTTTCTGGTTGATTATAGTGCTTATAGTAACAGTACCCATTCTTGACAGCTTCAACCTAATTCAAATCCAAATAATTGTGTTCAAACGAATTTGATTCAATTTTTATTTATTTATGGATACTAATTTTGTATATTCATTTGTGTCATCAGTATATTTAAGTGTTTGTTTTTCTTTGCAGGGTATCCTGACCTTTTGGATGCAGAAGGTCTAAACCTAATGATTAATAAGTTGGAAGATTCAAGTAGTGAGCAGCAACAGATCCTGACATTACAGTGGGCTGTAGAGTGCTGCAAGAAGCATGAAAATAATAGACAGGTTTCCTTCTTTCAATGAATCTAAATTTTTCATTTATACTCAAGTCAGTGTAGTCCTTGCAGTAAATAACCTGTGGGACAAATCGACAGCGTAAGTCCGCAATCACATATCTCGTTTGCGGTGTCTGAAAATCTCCGCCTCTTTGTTAGTTTTTTATAAGAGAACAAATTAGCATCATTCCTTGAAATTTTTGCAGAACTTCCTTTGCACAGAGAAGAAAAATCATAGCAGTTTTAAAGAATTGCCGTTGAGCATTTTTCCGTCTAGAAAATAAAGTATGACAGGAAGTCTGCGACGTCGCCAACCGAGTTATGTGATTGCCGACTTACACCGTCAAAGTACATCATAATCATTGATATTTTTGCATTATGACTTGATTTGTTTAAAAATGTTTGGTACTAAGTACACACTTATTATGTCATATTCCTCAGAAAGTATAATATCTCCACTCTCTAGCAGTAGACTATGTGTGGATAATGAGACCAGAAACAAAGTAGGTGCATATCGATGGCAAAAGTGCGAAACCATGTATCTCCGCTCGAGACGTAGCAGACTTCCTGTCGTACTTTATTTTTTCTTTGGTAAACTCTTTAACGTAATTTCTTGAAAACCTCTGTGATTTTTCTTCTTTATTAGCAGAGTACCTATTCTGCATTAATTTAAAGTAGTAAATTTGGCTTGTTTCTCTCCGGAAAAATAAAATAGGAGTGGATATTCTGAAACACAGCAATGGAGTTACCCAGTTTTGCTCTTTGGCCATCAATACATGAGTTTGCAAATTTTGCAGATTTTTGCCCTTATTTTCACTTTTTTAAGGAGATGACTGATCAATGTTCTACCAACAATTTTATCAAATGGGCCACTATACAAGGTCTGAGCTAGGTAGGAAAACATGTAATATGTTTCCTTTTCAAAATATTTTCTGGAAAATGAATCTCACTACCAGTCTTTCGGATATTAAATTCTGAACAAGTATTTTTTAAGCAGATCAAATAGAAGTCAGATTATACAAATAATGTCATTTGTATTTTTGCAATTTAATTAATGTTTATTAAAAACACTCGTATCTGGTTTAGGAATTGATTCCCACATTTTTTGTTTTGTGATTCATTTTCTTTGCTGATTTTTGAAGAGGAAACAAGTTGCATAGTGACTTAGTTGATAGCTCGTCTCGAGGCCCATTTTTTCTCTTTCCAAACATATTATGAAAAAATTTTAGTCACACTCCTCTAAAGAAATATAGTGGATGTGTAAAATATTGAATGACTCATGAAGTCTAAAATATTCTAATCAAGTTATCGATGCTGAAGCTCCCAAATCTTATATCTTGTTTACGGTGTTTTAAAATCTTTGCTTCTATTTTTTTGTGAAGGCAAATGTATCAGTATCATTTCTTGAAGTTTTCACAGAATTTTTTCGCATAGAGAAAAGAAAAACCCCTGGCAGTTCTTAAGAATTTCCCCAAAGTTGCTTTTTATTTAAATAATGAAGCAGGACAAGAAGTCTGCAATGTCACCAACTGAGGTACGTTGGTCGGGAATTTCATCGTCGATTTATGCTTCTGTGGTTTTGCTGATGACATTTAACCTAATTTTTCCTTGTGTTGAAGAAAAAAGAAATTGGCATTAAAGTATGACAGAAATCTTAAACTTAAACCGTAAGTGTCTTGTCATATTAAAGTCCCTTGTTCTCTTCTCTTTAAGCAGTGACATCAGAGTTTATTCTCAATTATCCTCAAGTTCTTTTACATTCCAGAGTATTTTTAAGAAGGACATCACAACAATCTTAAAAAGGAAAATAGAAGACAGCAGCTCAAGTCGCGATTTGCTTTACCACATTTGTTGCCTCTTCAGACATCTAGTTCTGGACGATGATGTGAGAGTAGAGTTTTCTCAAGCGCATGAGCATGCACGTACCATATCATCTGATAATTTGAGTCATCTCACAAAATTACTTTTCAGTGAGTAGAACATGATTATTGTATCTGTCCCATGAAAAAAAAGCAAGAGTACCTTCCCAAATCATTAGAAATTAGACTAGTCCATGTAAAAAATCGCTAAGGAAATTCAGAAATTTTTCTGTCTACGTATAGAAATATTTTTCATAGATTAGATTAGAGTAATTGTTATAAAATCTTGTTTCCAGGTGGTTTTTCGGCTTGTCGGAGAACTATATGATAATCGATCGATCCATTGATAATTTCTGGATTTTAGGACATTTCTTAAGGATTTCAAACCAATACTTAGCTGGGTGGATTTCAGCTAATGGGAGAAAATGGTTCTGAAAAAAAGGTTAAAAAGTGATTTGGCCATATCAAGCTATAAACTACTTTTCTGTTATCTTAGAGCTCCATACTATAGGATTTAATTACGTGCATCTTAATATCTTTACGATGATTTTTCTTTACCAAGCCTAACATGTCAGTTTGGTTTGGACATGTCAGGTTTGGTGACGTCACCAAACTGACATTTTGCTGTTATCAATTTTTTCTGCCAATTTACAGCAACAAAATCAAACTAATCATCGAGGTTAGGTCGAGAAGCCACCTGTAGATGTAAGAAAATAATATTTGCTCACATATTCCTTGCATATTCCACCAAAAGTTTTGATGGAAAACAGCGTCACCAAACTGACATTGAATAAGTGTGACACTCCAAAAACCATGGAAAAAACTGAAACTATGCTGAAATTGGAAGAAATATGTGGAATTATCAAGTGCACGTCTGTTCGTTCTCCTTTTCCGCACTCAGTCATGCCTTAATCCGCACACAAGCGCAATATCTTGAGTGGCCACAAAGTAAAACGCATAGCGTCACCAAACTGACATAATATTGAGTTACACGCTTCAAGTCTCAAATTATATTGAATAATATAGTTTTCTGGTGTTTCAATGCATATTATATCAAACAATATACCTTCAAGACTTAAAAAAAAATTAGACAAAGCTCGGAAAAGGTCCTGGTTTATTTACGTAACGATTTGATACATTGGCTACCTCCGAGTTACACATCACAAAACTGACATTTTCACTGTTCAGCACGTTGAAAAAAAGGTTTAGAGTTATTCAAATCTCCTGAGGAATTTTTTCGTGGTTGGTGTGACCTGCTTCTACGCAAAAACCAAACATCGAGAGAAAATATTATAATTGAAAGTTTTGAGCAACCAGTTGCACGTCTTTCCCATATTTTCTTCAATTAGCTGAAATCCACCCAGCTCTGTAGTATGTCAGATATTTTCACACAAAATTTGACCTAGAAAAATTTTAAAATAATTCTAAAAGTAGGGCCTGAGTGAATATTGCAATTTCACAATCACTAATCATACATCATAAAATTTTTACTTTCTTCATTATTCTAATTTTTGTGGTTGTAGAGGAACTTTTTTTTTTTTTTTTTTTTTTTTTTTTTTTTTTTTTGTCCTAGGTGCTTTTCTAACGTTTTTTATCCTTAAAAAATCTCCAAATACCAAAATAGTGTTAGAATCTCCTCCAAAATCCATATTTTTTAAATGATTGTAACAGCTATTAGCCGTAAATGATGAAATGCTGATGGCATTTCAATCTGGTCTCCTTACATCCTATTATGGGGTTTCTCCACAATGATTCTAGAATTTAATTGCAAACAAAAGTATACTGGAGGTGAACCCTCTGTAAAATGTTTGCTGTGTTTGTAGGCAGCTGAAAAAGGTAAACTTATCTGAAGAAGGCTCTATATTCTTGATTGAAATGGGAAAATGAAAACTTTCAGTAGACCTTCAAGGAGGTAACATTAGGTACTTTGATAGTCCAGAAAAAAATCAATTCATTCTCAGCCTGCTGCAAAAATTATCAAACTCACTCTCTCTCTGAACTTGAAAAGTAATCATCGATTTTATTCAAAATTTTGAAAATGACTGTATTTTGCAATTGGACTCAACAATTTCTGGCTCATTTCAGAAACAGCATATGTGCTAATAGTTTTCCTACGGAGATAAGTGCTTTTTTGAGGTAGCTAGAAATTTCAGTTATTTATTGCAAAATGTAGTCCATTAATAACTCTTATGTAACTAACAAAAAATCTTAGCAACTTTGACCTCATAAGCTGAACATTGAATATACTTCAATTCCCGTCTTTGCTGGGCACTTGCAGTTCTAGACCCTGCCTCTATCAGCTGCATGCAACTGATGGAGATGCGATATTATGTTGCTTGTCTCTAACCCAGGTGGGACAATAGTTGTCATATTATAATTTCCTCTCTACCTCAAAGTACAAAAAAGAAAAAGAAAAAAAAGCCAAAGCGCCAGCTCTTGATAACACACATTTTCATCTGGAGACCCCAATGTAAAAGCAAAAAAAAGGAAGATTTAATGATAGAAACAAAAATCATATGTGTATGTTCTGCTGAGTGGCTGTAATTTTTTGTTCGAGTTTCAAACATTTGTATTTGTTTGATTCAGAACTTCGTGAAGATAACGCAGCTGTATGTGAGCTCTTACAAACTTTGACTTCGTTGATAGTTCGAAATGAATTCTGTCAGGAAGTTGCGGACTGTGGAGGCCTTACTTTTATCATGGATGCCATGACTGAATTTCCAAACGATGAGGTGAGCTAATACTACTTGAATTACTCCAGAAAAACCTAGAAATGTGAGGGAAAATGACGAAAGTGTCAGGAAAAAAAATTTGCTCTCCAGAATGAGTTTAACATTTCAAACAATAACTTTTGCTTAGTAACTACTTCAATTTATGTCTTTATAACCATCTAAAATATCTTTGATTGTCAGGGAATTTCATTAAAATGTGTCAGGGATTTGTCAGAAAAATTCATTTTCTAAATTCTGTTACGACCCTGTCTTCAAAAAGTCTCTGATTTTGTTAACAATTTTAATTTTTAATGAATCATCAGTTTACTATCTTGACTCTCCTGAAACCACAGAGGAGCACATGGAAGACAACCCTCTCTCTGATAAGACAGTAAGTTTGTCCAAAAGAGTCCAATTGAAAAAAGCGGAAAATCCTGGAGAGTTAAATCAAGACATCTTTTTCAAAACTCCGCAAATGGGCCTGTTGCAAACCTTTGCCAGAGCAATAATAAGAGTTTTCTGTCAGTAAATATCTCAAAAATCACGATTGGCAAAGTTTGAAATGCACTCCTAACTTCACAATCTGCGTAAGAAATTTGCGTTTTTTGAGCTTCCCGCTTCAAAAATGATACTAAGGTACAGGTGAACATTCCGTTAGGGGAGCTGTTCTATCCATCCCCTGTGCACTAGGATACTACACAATATTCAACATGGCTGACACCAATCCGCCAAAACAGTTCAATGGCCAAAACGCATGTGCCTGGACGAGATTCTAACCATTAGTTAAAAACCCAGAGTTTTCCATACAAACCATAGTTTTCATTCACAACTTTTTCGCAATGTTAAAGGTCTGCTTAGGTTAATCTTGTGCTCCCGATTATGATTTGCGCGTGGAAGCATCGGCTATGTTGGGTATTGCTATTGCGAAAGGGTTGAATGGAATAACTCCTCTAACGGAATGTTCACCTGTGCTGTAGTACCATTTCTAAGCGGGAATTTTACATAACTTTAAATTAGATGGACGCTTTCATTTGCTCAAACAACAAAAGAGTTCTTGGAATTATCGTTTGAAAAGTTTCAATTGATTGATCGCAATGTGAACCACAAACATTAACAGCTCACTTTTAAGTTGATTTTGGAGATGCTTATACTTTGAATTTATTATGCATGAGGATTTGTTGTGCACTCAAGTTCTGTGGAGGTATAATTATCACCTTGTCCAATGGTCTTTTTTTTTTTTGTACTTGCAGATTTCGTATCATCGCATGTATAACTGCTTTTTCAAGTTTTCAGCACAGTCATTAAAATGTTGTCTCATTGTTTCAGAAACTGAATTGGCAATGTCTTCGGCTGCTTAAAGGTTTAGCAGGAAATGATGAGGTCAAACTGAAAATCATGCAGAGTGGTGGAGGAGCCTTGATTATCTCATGCATGGACCGATTTAAAGTGAGCATAATTTTCTAGACAGAAATTTTTACATGCCTCTGGTTCGAATACCTTACATTTTTTTAAAAAAGAAAACAGAGTTGTTGACATAACGTCCTATCATTTATAGCCTTCTAGAGTTCCTTTGTAACTGAATCAAACACAGATGGCTATAAAATGATATCAACATCTTTGTATCTAATCTGAGAGGTGCTTTTTACCAACTCTTGTTTATTATTTTTTTTAAAGAAAATATTTGACGGGAGATCAGTTTAGCTTCTTGTCATGACAACCTCCCTCTTATCCAGCAGTATTTCTGCATGAAGAATTTGATTTAATGCAAGGGTACACCCTCTTTTAATGCTTCTGTTTTGCCATCCTTTGAGGGTTTCAATTCCAAGAGTTCTCTGTGAGTTTTTTCTTTTCTTTTCTAGGATTGGCCCACAGGGGCCAATCCTAAACTTAAAACCGGCTTCCCTCGGTCTCTACTTAACAACCAGCCCCAGATGACCATTAAACTTGGGTTGCATGGCTGAGAATCAAACCAAGATCTCCTAATTACAGGGCAAGTGCTGCAACTACACACAAACAAGGGTCAAAAACATTAGTACCAGAAACTGCCAATCGATTTTAGAGGGAACCAGTTACAGACCTGATTGCATTTACACCTGATCCATTTATTCAAAAAGAAAAGTGATTAGTTAAATGGCAATTTTTTGCTTCCGAAGGAACTTCATTGCTCCATTAGTCATCAGAAAGTTTAATGTACCATGAAGAATTTGATGAACATCAATGTTCGCATGCCTATCAAGAAGATGCTTAATTTTCAAATTACTCTCGTAAATGAATCTATTCTACCCAATAGTCAAAATATTTCAGATTTTAGCATCTAGAAAAAGTGCGTCTCATCAATTGAAAGCAGACTACTTTTTATCCCTTAGATGATGAAATTCAACATTCCTTTTTTTACAGATTTCCATAAACATTAGTAGAGCAGGACTGGCTGTCATTACAGCCTTGTGCCTGAGGTCACCCCAGAATAGTCAACTGATGTGTGAACTGGAGGCTCCGTCAGTCATAGTTCAGGCAATGAAAATTCATTCTGCAGATTCCAAAATCCAGGTAAGCTAATAATAATGTTCTAAAAGAGAGCTTCTGCAATTCAGGTTCAAATTTCAGTAGAAGTCACATTCTTCATCCTTAAGAATCTTCCTTTTCAAACGGAACAGGAAGTCTCCATAAATAAATCAATGCCAAATAAATCGATAATGTACTATTATTTTCTTAATGTGTTCTCTGTCATGGGTTTTTCTTTTGCATATCGACAAACTGTGAAAACTGCTTTTGGGTTGTGGTGATTTAAAATTTCTTCCAGTATGTAATAGTCTTCAGAAAGTAATACCAGACATTTTGTCTAAAATTTACCGAAAAAATTATTGGAAGGGAAAAGAAATATCATAAAAATCTTTATGAAATCATTTTGTTGTTTTGCCATGATATGTCTTTTGCTTGACATCACCATCGGACTTGGTTTTGCTGTTCTCAAGAGGATTAAAGTGGAAGACTAAGCACAGAATACCAAGAAATTTTGGTACCAGTTTTTCGATATTATTTGATGTAACACTCTTTACAACCTTTAGAGCTTTGAGCGTATGAGCTTTTAAAATTGAATTTCTAACTTGCCATTCTCGAGAAAAGTGGGGCGCAAAAGCAAGTTTTTGCCCTTCTTACTTGCATTTTCTTATGGAGATGTGGGACTGTTGCTACATGTTCGTTGATGCTGCGCTGCTTGCTGTTATCAATTTGATTATTTTTGTCTGTCACATTTTCTGGACTTGCAAGAAAACAGATACTCTCCTCGGTCATTAATTTAAGTTTGCAACATTTCATTGAGATATTGTCTGTAAAAATGCCGAAAAATTCACTTTTCAGCCCTGCTTTTCTTGAGATAGGCATGTAGGAAGTTCGATTTTAAAAGCTCACGTGTTCAGGAGGTTGCAAGGAACATCATATTAAAAATATTGAAATTCTTCCAGAACCGAATTTCTTGATTTTTCGTGCATCGTCCTTTTTTGAAAAATATTACCCTCCATTTAAGCGTATCAAAGCCTAACCTTGCCGTGTGGAATATGGACTATATATCAGTAAACAGAACTGAGTAGAGTTGGGAAATCTCTAAGAACTAGCGGACCCCTGATGACACACATTGATTAATAATTTCATAGTTTTTACAAGAAATGGCAGTTCTGGTATGTCTCCCGAACAATTATTTTAACCATGCCTCCCATCTTCACTTTTAATTTTCTAATTTACGCATTGATGAAGGTCCTGATTGTTGAAACCAGACGGTCTAAATTAACATTTTCTTTTGAATTTCCTTAAAAAATAATCTTCATTCCACAGTGAGAAGGCTCATTCGAGGGGCTTGGAGGACAAGGCACATAAGATCAGCTTTTGAAAAAATTGAGGTATTCATGAACTGAACTGAATCTAGTTTGAAAGTATATTCTGTGAAAAATTATTGACTAAAATCCAACTTTAAAGCGTCAGAAAGTTAGTTTAAGTATCCTTTCTGCCTTGAAGCTACATATAATTTTAAAACTTTAAACATGTATTTCTAGAAACAGCAAAAACTGCACTTATGCGCCTTGTCCTCCAAGCCCCTCATTTTATCAACTTCGCTAGCTAATATCCCCAAAACATCCCATCTATTTTTTACTGTTATGCCTCTCACTTTAATTTTTCCTCTGCCTTTTTCAGAAAAGCGGCTGCTGTGCTGTCAGGAACGTGGTTTCACGCTGCCGAGAGCTGTCCAAACACTTCCTAGAATTAGGTATCGAAGAAATTATAAATGACGTCATGAAGAGGTTCAAATCTGAGTTAGAGTTTGATGCAAAGTCTGCTCTTCGAGATCTTGGCTGCAACGTTGTCTTCAAAGAGGAGTGGAAAGGGGAGAACAAATCTGGTGTCATCGATTGTAATTAATAAGAATATTTTCTGTCTCTGTGATTTCTCCAAAGATAAGTAGGAACAATTTTTCCGATTGTAGGCAGTTGATTCTTCTGTTGACATTTTAGAACTATTGCTAAATTTGTTGAGTGATTTTTAAAGTGAAATGGAAGAATCATCAGCTTTATTTAGACCGCGTTAAGCAGAAAGTAACCAAGTCACATCAGCAAGTGCCAAATTTAATTGGGCAGTCTAATTTTTTACGTGAAAACAGTTATACAGGTTTTTGTGCAAATTGCAGTGAATTTTCTGTTTAGTACAAAACAAATTCCTTAAAAATTTCAGTAGAATCTGCACGAAGGTTCGCTTGGAGAAAATTGAATTGCTTAGTTATACTTGGCAAGAGCTGAAGTGGCTTGGTTCCTTTCTGCTTAATGTGGTCCATTTAGCCATTGAAAGCAGATAGAAAGCACAAGAAAGCAGATCCTTTACTCAGCTAAGGACTTTTGCGACAACTCTGATACTATTCCACCGAACCTTCTGTGTTAATATGTTTGTTTTGTTGCTTGCCTTATCATTTTAAATGCATGACTACATGTTACATAGGAGGGGCGAATAAGATCTTTTGTCAGGGAGTAAAAGCCTGCTCCATTTTTATGAATTTATGATCTACCTATGAGGAGAAACTTCGTGTGGTCAAAATGAATAGCTTTTTCACAGTGTCAGATGATATTTTTATCATTTAATATTGAATACTTTCCAGCGTTCCTAATTTTCCTTTAATAATGCTTATGCTTTTTTAAAACTTTATAATCCATAAGTTGAAATACATTCTTATTTTTCACTAATTTTTTAGAAAACGTCCGAAAAATACTGAAGTATCAAAGATACTGAAAAAAAAAAAAAAATAAAATAAAATAAATAATCTTTACTATTATTTGTTTTCTATTTTCTTTTCATTTAAACTGGCCCCTTACCCTGCTGTGCAATTTTTTTTGTAACTATAAGTTTAATATGCTCTGTCTGTTTGCAAACTTGGACCTCATTATCTGAGGGTCCCCCTAAAAATTTTCACACGAGATCGTAATCTCATAAAACTTAACATATTTGAATCTCTGTTTCTAAATTTCTTCTTTCTTTTTTTTTTTTTTTTTTTTTAGAAAAACATCCTCTATTAAGTACTGCAGTACTGCATAGAATTTTTAAAAAAAGTAATAGAATTCAATTCTTCAAAGTCATGAAATTTAAAGCAACTTGAAGAAGCCAGAAAATTCGCGAGAAAAGTTTGGTAATTTTGCGAGTAGCAAGACGGCTCAACCACTTAAGTCAGCGGTATGCAAGAGAGCAGGAATAACTTCTGAGTGCCTTTTTCAAATAAGAGATATAAGAGATATAAATAAGAATCTTTAGAAGTGGCTATTTTGTCCACAGTCTAGTGATAGCCAGTTGATAGGAAAAAATCGAAGTTTGAAGGTCAAGAAAAGTCAAGAAATTCGGAAGTTTAGAAGGTCGGGGAAAAGCACTAAGTAAAAGTCAGAGGATTGCAAAATGAAAAAATTGGGGAAACCTTCGGTTGTATTTTATGAGTCATTCAACGCATTTTCTGTTTTCATGGTCTCGTTGGAGGGAGGCAGAGCATGTCAACGGCTAAAGTAAAAAAATCTCTTCACAACAAATTTTAAGGAGTCGTTTTGGTCAGTGATTTTTAAGGTAAAAAATGAAGGAGGAGTTTGAAAGGTCGCATCGCATGGACGACTTCCCTAAGTAACACATCATTGGACTTCAGTCCTTGAAATATTTGTATTCTCATAAGAGACTTGAATCTGATGAAGGTGTTGTGTTATTCTATGTGATATGCAAAAATTTCTCCAACTATTTTTGAACATATCATTCTTTTGGTTTCATATCGATTAGAAAGGCGATTCCTTACGTCTGAATCTCCCCCTCCCACCCCCTTCGGATGACTGGGGCTTCACGTTTTGCGGAACCTTTAATTTTACCGCAAGTCAAAATGGATGATATTTTTCCAAGTCTGAAAGATATAGTCAATATGCACGTATAACTTGTGTACAAATCAAGGATTTAATCGACAGATTTTAATACAAAAAATTATTTCGTGTAAAACCGATCAAAATAAATTTCGCCGCGCTCTACCGGCTACCGCTATTTTTCCCGTTTTTACCGAAATTTTATTACCAGTAGTGCCAACTATTTTCATCATACACTAGTAACCTTCCCTCCCTTCAGTCGATGGTTTCGGGCTTTACATCGGTCCGCAAGAATTTTTTTTAATCCTTTAATTGTAAGTTGACTTTTATCTGTTACAACAAAAAAATTTGGCTTGGTTTGTTGTAGGAGAAGTGGTGAGACAAAAACTTACAACAAACTATGAAATCAGTTTTTGGTGCAGCTTAGTTTTCAATGTTGTCGACATGCATAGAAATCGATGAACTCGTGGATCTAAAATCGGATTGTTGAAGAGAGCCTATTGTTGAATTCATAGCAATTCATTTGAGAATTTCGGGGCGCCACGCTCGGCTTTTAAGTTATTTGTTAGCTTAGTGAAAACTCATTTGGTAAGTGTTTCCTAATTAATTTCTCGCTCTTTGTGTTACGAACTCTCATTTCCAGCATTCCGATCGCGTGTCTGACGCATCCTTACGTGCATTTATCGAGCATGATAAGTAGGCGGTAAGGGATTGCCCTCGGTAGATGCTACGAATATTTCTTTCATTTCGTTTTCCAAGTTACTTTTTTGGATTTATCTCATGTTCTATTAGTTCCCCTACGTTTCTACCCTCACCGGTGTATTCACCCCCGTAATCCTTTGTCGGAACACGTTTCGTTCGTAGTCATTCCTTTTGGATGCCATGTGATTATGTACTGTATCACCCATTTTATGCTTACTCAGATGAAATGGTGTTGAAAGTTTTAATAACCCTTGCTTTATTTCTGGGCACAGCTTTCGTTGACTTTTTCCAGCAAAGCATCCTTTGTACTTGCTCTGTAATTTTGGAAACTACTTCCTATCATCCCATTCAGCTTCTTTTCAATGCCCTAATGAGCCATGCTGATTAGGGCGATGCGTTGACGCATCATGCCAAGTGCAGTCCCCCCAGTTGTACGTAACTGAACATATATTTTAAAGTAGCTGAGATCTCTAAGCCTAATTTTTTCTTCCACAGTTGCGTTTTCTCTGTGCTGCTCTAAGCCTCTCTTATCAGTAGTAATTTCCTCCGAGGATTGGGTACATTAGGGTGTGAGACTGCTGAGGAGTGATTAACCGTAAAATTTGAGTCCAGTATTTCCCAATGCACCCATCATGCAATATTAGATGAGTTTGGTTCATATATTTTATCTTTTAAATTTATTGCAACTTTGTCAATTGTCAGCCGTTTACCAAGCTAGTTAATATAAAATTTGAATCATCATTTTCTGTAGCTTGTCAGTCTTATCTGGCCATCTTTTTTTTCAGAATAGCTTCATTCTTCAACTTAATCGATACCTTTCCCATTGTATCTGGCCTTGTGTGGTTTCTCTACAGTCAGCATGAAAACATTTTCCACCTCTGTATGTTTACTTGTTCAATTAGCGGATAGACTTCTATTGTGAGGCACAACTTAAAGGATTAACGTACTCGACCCTGGTCCATCATTATCAATACGCATTGCTCAAAAGTTTGATCCACTTAGCATTTCATTTTTCCCTAAGAGAATCTCTCAAGCCCAGCAGATTGCGTATGTGATAATAGTTTTGTAAACGATAATCGATCACCAATCAAGTAACTACAGGAGTGTTCTTGCTGCATACCTATCTCCAAGAATTTGGCTAATTATTCTGTTAAGACCCATGTCCGTATCAAAGTTCTGAAACTATGGAATTACAGTTCTAGGGACTCCAACTGTATCATTTATTGAGACCTGGTCTAAAGCACCAGCCACTCATGTGTTAAGTTTCAGTCATATTTGCGGAATATTCTACCTTATGCATAGGTTGACCTGTGAATTCTTATGAGTACATCATGCAGGTCATGTAATGCATGCCTTTTTCCTCTATTGCCAGTTTTAATCGTGTACCTCCCACTGTAAGAGTTGCAGAGTAAGCCACCTTGTGCTCAAGGCTAAATGTTTAGGTGAAAGAAACCTGTATTGGTTCTGGTCACTTCATGATATGATTTTTGGAATTGTTCCAACTTAATACATCAGTGCACTATTCACCAGATTTGTTCTTAATCAATCTCTGCTGAACTCCTTGAATGTGACTAGAATTTTTCTTGAATTGTGATTATTCAAGCTTTCAGTCTCAGGGTGGGGCTGAGAAGTCTCTCCTGGTTACTTTTAGCTCTAGCACTCTAGTAGGTCTGTTTTCTCGGCCTCAGGAAACATCAGTAATTCAAACCTAATGAATATTTCTACCAGATCCTCTGACTTTAAGTTTTTCATAAGTGTGCCTGTTCGTCCTAATTTTTTTTTTTTTGTTGGGAGGGGGGAGCTGCTAAATTCAGTTATCATGTCTTGTGGCCTTAAAGTTAAATGCCGAAACCATATACAGCATTAGGAAATTTATCTGAACTGCTCAGTATCTATTCTATTATGTTTGCAAAGATTTTATATTGAAAATAATTACCCTTCCTTGAATGCGACAAGGATCTGTGAAGGATTGAAACTGCATTTTCACTGATCAGTCGTAACAATGCAGTAACTGTATTGCCTGTTTTATGATTTCTATTTTTTGAAACACAACTAAATTGTTTCCTGGAAAAAAATATTGTGTTTAATAAGAGAAAAAAGAGTCTGGTAGATGTTGATGTAAGTTCATCAGCCTTCTTCAGCACCCAAGTATGTCTTCGTCTCATTGAAACCAAGGAGGGTAGGACAATTCTGCACCGAATTTTTTGTGAGTCATGCAGGAAACTTGACTTTGGAATTAGGCTTCTCTGTCAGTAGGGTATTTTTCTTGTGCTGACAAATTCCTGATAACATTATCACAGCCATGTCACAAGAATTAGGTTTATCTCTCCCGAACTATTTATCTCATATCTTTTCGAGAGGATTTCAGGTCCTCATCCAATTGCTCTATTGATTTGAGAGCAATTCCCCTGATAAGCCATCATCAGCTGTCTTTGTAATTGCTGGGCCTGTGACCCTTTTCCCCTCTCTTGACCAGTAACACGTTGCCAGTAGCCTCCTTGGTGGTGGGCATGTGAGTGTTTGAAGCATTCCAGCCCACATAATTTCAATTATCCTTCAACTCTGTAAGATTCAAGTTCAGTGTATTTCTTTGGATATTCCATCTTGTGTACTTAAAATTACCAGTGTAATTAGATCAGTGGTCATCTGTGTGGGCAGTTTAAAATAATTTGGCAAGTTTCGTAACCGAAGTAAGTTCTGAGAATTTCCACTTGCCTTTCCCAGTAGGTCCTAAATCATATCAAGCTTTTAGGTGATAAAGAATTATTGAAACTAAGAGAAACCTTACTTTTCATATTCAGTCTTTTTCAGCTCTTTTGTCAAAATGATATTCTTGTAAATTTAGGCTCAAAAACATTTTTTCCCCCCCTAAGTGAATGAACTGTGAGCTTAAAGCATTGAATTGTAGATGAAGAAAGTTTTTCAGTATCCACTGAATTTAATGTATACAAGATCTTGAAGGCCTGCCTCGTTTCAGCCCATTATCTGTATCAAAGTAAATCATCAAGTAGCTTAAGTAAATTTCCACATTTTGCAGATTATTCAAGCTGTATCTGGAATGCTACCCTTGTAAACTGATTTGTTCCTGACATAACATCCAGGCTTGCTTTCAGTAGTGTAGAAACAATTTATTCACCCGAGATCAATCTTAAACTCAATGTTTTGTACTTCTTTCAGCAATCTTGTTCAACTGTAACGTATGTAAGGGCCCCAGTGATGTCAGCTTGTAAGAATGATTACTAAGCTATCTGTGGATGATGTTCTAACAAACGGAATCTTTTGTTTCAGGCTAGATAAAAATGGTATCGTCTACGACACCTGGCAAGCCGGAAAACGGTCATGCAGTGAAAGGAGTCCCTCCTGGCGACTACAGACTTGTCGGCTTTGACCTGGACACTACTGGTAGAAAATTGATTGATGAAATCTGCCAAATTGCCGCCTACACCCCTTCTAGCACCTACAGTCAGTACATAATGCCTTACAAGAACCTTGATTTCTTGGCCACCCGTAGACACCTAATCCGCACGGTTAACACTGGCAGATATCGTATCCTTAAAGATATGCAAAATAACAAGGTAAGGCTAATTGATCCTCTAGATAGTTAAATTATGCCCGTTAAAATTCATTTCAACAAATGAACACTTAAAATGAGAGCAGTGAGAACTCACTTTGTATTGAAATATCAGATGTTTTAAGAAGCAGAGATAGCTTCATTTTCTGCCATGTATGCACTGCTGCTCTAGGATTCTTCTAACTCATTTCCCCTTTTATTTCTCACATTTTTTTTATTTATTTCTAGAGGGAAATGGGGGACTGTTCAATCTGTAAGTTTTTATTACCAGGAGCGGTAGCGACCCTGTCAAGCCTATAGAGATCTCCAACCCAGAATGGCAGCCGCTACTGTATCTGAAAATAAATTTCTCATATTTTTGCTTCAACAGTAATTTGTTTTTGTTTTGTAAGAAGTTAAGCTCTGTGCCTACTGGCCCAGCAAACTATCATAGGATTGACTAAAAGAGCTTTGAAACAATTTTTAATTGTTGTAAACTTAACATTTTCTCATAAATCTTCATTTCCTGAGATTTTTGCGATCCTTTCTGTCTGGTTCGATGGGATACAACAAACAGCCTCTTCTAATCCTTTGAACTGATCACTTTTTTGCAGTAATAATGATGACCACTTTATGAGGTACTTGAAAGCTTGCATCATCGCTCTTTTTATGTGCTATTTTTAAACATGTAGAGAATCTTTCATTTATTCCAGTATTTGTCATCTTACAGGTAGTGAAGACCAAAAGTGAGATCTCTGCCCTACGAGAGTTCCTCCAATGGCTCAAAGAACAACAAGGTGACAAGAAAGCGGGCATAATCCTAGTGCGTTACGAAGGTAGCCAAATTGTCCCAGCACTGCTCATTGTCGCTCTTAAAAGGTAAATTACCAGTCCCCCAAATTTCTGAAGCCAACCTATTGTCTGTAGTTCTAGTAGAAGAATTCTCCACAAAATGATCGTACATAAGGGTCATTTCATAAATATTTTTATTATTTTTTAGTCCGGATCCTTTTTCCTTTCACATCAATGTTTCCTTTAGAACATATTCAATCATTTCTATCATGTGTGCTTCAGGATGTAATTTCACTAAGTAGTAAAAATAATCTAGAAACTGAACAGGAGTTGTCACTGAATCAAAAAATTATAAATTAATAACCTTTATAGAAAAGACCTTCGGTGCCAGCTGAATTTTGTTTTTATTCGATACAATGTTCTTACGACCTCTTGGGCACAACAAGATTTAAGAATCAAACTTTCTATGCACCACTTTTGAGAAAAATGGGATTGGAGAGTAAATTTTTTGGCAATTTTAAATGCACTAGTGTTGCAATATCATGATGATCAAGGATGGATCAAGGATGTTTCTTTGCCGGCCAGGAAGCTAAAATAATCAAGAAGAATCTAATTTCTCTGGACGGTAACAGCAAGCGGCATAGGGTTGACATACTCATAGCAACAGCTCCATATTTTCATTAGAAATAGCATGTGAGAAGTTTAAAAAATCACTTTCCAATCCTGCTTTTTCCCAATGTAGGCATGTAGAAAGTCAGATTTTGAAAGCTCTTCAAGCCTAGGAGGTTGTAGTGAACATCTTAAGTGATAACAGATATAAGACGATGCTGGATTCCTTGGTTCACTGTGAGGGTCCTGTGCTGCAGGAGTTAAAAGTATCAGTATGTGTTGTCCGAAGTCAGCTTTTCTTAGTTGGGAGTCAACCAATTTTGGTTTAGTCCAGATTCAGTTGATCGAGCCCTCGACAGTGTTAAAAATCGAAATCAGTGTAGGTCAATTCGACCAGCAAAAATGAATGGATAAGTTGTACAACAGGGTTGCCACTGACAGGGAAAACGGAGAAATGTCAGGGAATTTTCAAAAGTCAGGAAAAAATTGGGGGGTCACCTTCATTTGCTGTCTAGAATGGGTTTGTCGTTTTGAGCAACACATTCTGTCTGAAAACCATTCCTAATAATGTCTTGTCAACCATCTGGCATATCCTCAATTGTCACAGAATTTCATCAAAACGTGTCAGGGAAACGTTAGGGGGTTTCATTGTTTCAATTCTGTAGTAGCCCCAGTACAAGTAACCCAAGCTCCACTGTTGAAATTTTCCCCTCAGTCTTATCAGGAAAAATTCAGTACATTGAGGTGAAAATCTTTCATGTTAAAGTGTACATCTGTCTAAAAATTAATACCCAATTTGACTGTAATGGATCTTAATTTTTGGCAATATGGATCATTCAGTCGACAGCCTGAATTGACAATCCTAGCAACTGCCAAATTCCCACTCATGAATTAAAGTTGAAAGCTGTCGTTTTATTACAGTGCTCAGTCGGAAATTTAAATTAGGAAACATGATTCATGGCTATAGCTGTCTTCGTTCGCTGTGAATAAACTCGCATCCTCGCTTCTAGTAGCTCAGTGTGATTAATTAAATATCTTTGGCCGCACTACTACCAGCACAATGGATTGATCAAATGTTTTTGTTTTAAAGTTTGACTAAACTCATACCTCTCAACGTTTAAGCTCCGGTCTGCGCAGAGAGACTAACGAAACTTATGTTGTTCCTGAAATAAGTCAGCAACAGTGGTTCATTCCTGCGAAAAGTAGATCTTTTATCTCTGTCTTTTATTTTTTGAGTATAGATGTACTTTTTTTTACGAATGGAAGAAGCCGGTAAAATGGACTGCATTTTGCGTTGAGGAACTACATGCTATTCCCAGCGCATCCCTAAAACACCTTTCTGCATGAGAGAACTACCAGCACTAACGCTGTTGTAAATAGTATATCTTTATTGCGAAATGTAGTCCAATTTGAGTATGATCATCTGATACTCTCCCTATCTCCATGCTTTTGTCTGTCTAAAAATTGTATCGATTTCTAAAAGAATGTATACAGGTGCGAATTTTGATTTTGGTAAGAGCCTGTTCGTTCAAGTTGGTATTCATTCTTTTTTTCTTTGCCTTGTTTTGCAGATACGACCTCCTAGACGAATTTAATGCTCTGGTAAAGGGATTCGCTGACTGCCAGCCCTTGGCCAAATCGAAGTGTGATGCCACAATTAACCCAGTAACTTTTCGAAATGTCTGTAAAATTTTACTCTCCGAACAGGACCCAAAAATCTTCAACGCTGCTGACAGAGCCAACCTTGCTTACAGGGTAAGTTTTATGTATTTATTTTTTTTTTTTAGTCGGTTGGGAATTGAAAACTTCTTGAACTAAAATTGTAATCCTGACCAGGGAACTTTTGCAAAGAGAGACAACAAAATTGACAAATTCTGTCCCAAACCTCGATATTCAGGAAGTTTCATTTAGCACTCCTTTTGAACCAAAATTTTAGGAAGCATTCAGTTTCTCAAAAAAAGGGCAAAGCACCAAGCACGTCAAGTTACATTTTTCATTAATGTACTTACCAAACTGGTGCCAAAGTATTTTTACTGAACACAGCTTGATCTAACTCTCTTGGTTAGATTAATCCAAACTCAGTGAACATCAACTCTGTCCCTCATGAATTATAGAATTAACACCACTTTTTTACCATGCTCAATGTTGTTAAATTTTGTCAAAGTCAAGTGATAGTGACAGTTTTTGATTTGTTTACATTGGTGACATTAGTTGGTACAATATGTCCTTAACATGTTTGCAAAATCATTAATTAGAAGTTAGGATAAAGAATCGTAATATCCTTTTCTTTGACGTAAATTAGTGGCAGTTATGATTTTAAACTAACTTCGTTCTATGAATTTTTTCCAAAAGCTGCACCATTTTAAAGAAAATTGATGATAAAAATGTCTTTACCCTCAATCGTCATGGACCTCTTTCCAAAATTTTGAAATTGTGTACATTTCCTTTGTTTTTCATTGATGAACAAGGACCATCTATTTTAAGAAAAAAAAAGTAGCATAAGAAATCTTAACTGCACTAATTTTGTAAGAGTAACGTTTAAGGGCGATCTTGAAGTCCTGTATCACTCTCAGAACTTCAGAACAATGGAGGTAGAGACTTGAAATTTAGAAGTGCCCTTAGGTTAAAAGAAACTTCTTCATGAATGCCTCAAAATTTTTTTTTTTGGGGGGGGGGGGTGTCTTTTTATCAGATTTTTTTATTATTTAAGCAAGCAAAAGTAAATATGGTTTGAAAAAATATAGAAATAAAACAAGAACATTAACACGCAAGAGAGGTAGCGCCTTAAAGGGCCGCATGGGCCCTAACGTTTTTTCTTCTAAGTTTTTCTTCCTAATTTATTTCAAATGTTTACAGATAGTAGAACATCTGACCCAAGGAGAGAGTGATAACGCAGGAAGCGGAGATGGAGCAACGCCGCAAGTGAACCTTGTAGAAGCCATCCTGGAACACTCGCACAGCGTCGAAGACATCGAGAACGACATGGCATCACTGCAAGTCATCCTGAACCGACAAAACACCCTCAAGCCCATCTTTGGTGGTCTATTAAGTTCCCGAGCCATTGCACTTAAGGAACGCAAGAACGCTAGTCAATTACGCCGACTTCTCTCAGAAGCCATGTTCGATTATAGTACATTAGAAGAACTGTGGAACTCAGTGAGTACCTTTCAATGTTTCAGATTTTTCCCCCTCTTTTTTTTAATTGAATACTATTACCACAAAAATTTTCATTTTATTCTGTGAAATTGCATCGGTTTTATTTTCTTCCTTCTGATTTTGATCAATTTTTCCAATTTTTGTTGCAATGCCAATGACTCGCACTGCAATAGTTATTTCACCAGCATGAGAGCGAGACAAAAAATATTCTTGCAGCTGTATTCTCTATATAAAAATTCTTGGATTAGTAACACTGCTAAATGTTTTAGAATTCCGTCTCTATTTTCTGTGTCTTTTTTGCAAGTTACAAAACTTCAACCCTGGAGTATGTTTTATGGTGACAATGAGGAAGTGCTCAAAGATAATGGCAGCGAAAGTTGTATTCAATATTCCTAATTGTGATTTCCTTAACTATTCAGACTGAATTGTTAGAAAAAGTCCTAACCTCTGTCATTGCCTTTACTGTTTGATTTAAACACATCTAATCTCATCCGGAGTTTTTTGTTTGTATTTTAAACCTTTCATTGCTAAACACATTAACTGTCTCGCTCTGTTCTAAATACATCTACCTGTCATCAGTTGCAGTCCTATATCATGCAAGTGTTCGCAAGATGAAGATTCCTACTTTAATAATTTTACAACTTCTGATGCTCCTCTTCTCAGTTCTCAAGAATTTTTCTTGCCGAAACATAACTTTTTCTTTTTTTACTCATTGCATTATATTTTTTTTTCTCCCCTCAAATTTTTAATTTATGTCTTTGTTTTGATCTATGCACAGGGCAAAGAAGCAATGGTTGAACAACTTAAATCAAAAATAACAGTTGCTACACCTGAACAATTAGAAGAATTAGGCAAAATCCTGACGGAGCATTTCGAAAAGCCACCAGAAGAGCGCGAGTTCAAACCGCAGCCAAGAGGAGGCTTCCGAAAGACCAATAACTACAAGAAGAGCCCAAAGAAAGCCGCAGCCGGTGAGAAGGAAGGAGAAGCCGAATCCACGGAAGAGCCAAAGCCTGTAGCCGAAACAAATGGTGTCAAAGAAGAGACCGCCACCTCCTAAATCATCTCAAGTATTCATGTTTCAAGTCCTCTGATTTACGATATTTCCAGGTTGTCTCGTACCTTTCCTAAACCCCGTACTCTCTTTCTTTTCTAATTTTTTAAAACCTTTTTGATGCCTTTTTTTTGTAATTTTGACACAATTTTTTTACAACCCCTCGAATCAACCGTACAGGGAATTAAAGTTACTTTTTAAGATTTTACTTACGTAGAGTCTACGTAAATGTTTTTTTTTGCCCTCGATTCATTTTGAATTTCTAAAATTATGCAGAAGATTTTTTTAATTTAAAAGTTTTCATTCTCTCAAATTAGCACGGATGACATTGGTTTTGATGAATTTCTTTATTTCGGCTCGCTCCAATATAGTAAATTATCAGGACTTAAATCATGAGTGTGTGCCTTATATAATTCTTGGCTAAACAATTAAATTATTTATTATTTTATATTTACAATTGTTCTCTCCTTTAATTTGTATGGCTCTATCCCATCATAGACTTAAAATCTCACGTGAAGTTCTCCTTTATGTTTCACTAAAAACACGTGAATGATTATAAAAAAAAAGTTTTTGAAGGTAATTTTTTTACTACCTCTAGTTTATTGTCCCCTGAAATTTTTATATTAGTTTAATTTTCCCTATACGTCTTGACTTTTTCCTTGTGAACTACTCCTTTCAGCTGTTTGAGTTACTTTCGCCTTCGTGCCAGTAGTTCTTTTTCATTTTACTTAACCCGCCAGTTTGGACTTTGTATTTGTATCAAGTTACTCCTATGAAATTTGTCTCGTTTATGATCGTTTTGTACTCGCATCTGACTTGTCTTCGTTTTTTTCTCATACATTTTCTTACTTACTTGAGTAAATTGTGTAATTTTATAAAAGTACCCTAAATTAATTTTATACAACTTTCTTAATCGTTCAAAAATTCAGTTGCGTAATTTTTAATTACATTCCTATGGATCACTTATTTCAAATATACCTTTTCTTATCTATCTTTCATTCGTCAGTTTCCTGATGTTCGACAAATGTATCCAAAGTAATAATTCTCTGTTCCCTCTTGTATAATCTCTGAATAACTTTTAAAAGAAGCATGAATGTATTAAAGGTTTTTGTTTTCTTGTAATCTGTGGCTTCTTAATACTTCATCGAAAGTCCACTGATTTTTTTTCGCCAAGTTTCTCAGGATGTCTGAAGGTTTGGAAAACCAGTAATTCCTGGGGAAATCCAGCTGGTCAGGGGAAATTCAAACAATTTAAAGAAAACACTGAAATTTGGAAAAACCTCGATTTTTAAAATCTGACAAAAATATCAGCTTTTTTCCTCGCTTTCAAACTGAAACTTAGTCTCAACCTCAGCCCAATGCTCTGTTACACTCTCAGTAGTGAGCAGGAGCCAAAGTTTCAATAAGGGATTGCGGATTCAGAAAGATACCAAAAGACTTATCGTTAAAAGTCCCAATAAGAGTGAAGTGTTAGCTTCGCGATTCAAATTATTTTTGCTCAGTAATAATTACCTGTGTGAAGATAGAGAAATAATCGATGTTTAACACCATCAGAAAACTTACATGCCAGATTTCAAAGAAATTTCCCATAGTTGGTGACGTGTAATCACAGTATTATCAAGGATAAAGTAGTGTATTCAGAATTTATTTTGATTCCTCCTAACTCCAGCACGTCATAATTGGTGAAGTATACTTTTTGGCTTCAGCAGACCTTAGGATTTAACTAAGTAGGGAAATTAAATGTATGCTGAGAAGGGGTTTTGCTCATTCTAGAGAAAATTCAAAGATTTCAGTGTCGGGGCATTTCATACTGTGAAAAAGAACATGGAAAAGATGCTTGATTGGGTTCCTCCTGGGAGGAGGCGTAGGGGACGCCCAGTGAGAGGTTGGCGACAGGGGGTGTTAAATGAGATAAGAGATTGTCAACTCCCTGATGACCTGTGGGAAGACCGAGCTTTGTGGCGTTTAGGTGTCGCAAAGCGCCAAAGAGCGCTATAACAGCGACTCGTATGTATGTAAAAAGAACATGGGCGTATTGATGGTGAAACTACCAGACCGTGCATCTCGTTTGCGGTGTTTGAAAATGTCTGCTCCCATTTTATTTTTTTGAAGGAGAACAATTAATAATAACACTTCTTGAAATTTTCACTGAGTTTTCTTCACACAGAAGGTAGCAAGAATTGAGGAAACACACAGAAGTTAGCAAAAATTGACGCTGACATAATTTTTACAAAATAAAGTATGACAGGAAGTCTACAATGTCACGAACCGAGATACGTGGTCAGGTAGTTGCACTGACAATATATATCGCAATGGTTGAATCCTAACTGTATCCATTGCCATCTCACTTATGTGAAATATAGAATTTTTTCTTACGTCCTATTTCATTGAAGAGAATTCTTGGGGGAAACTAAAGGAAGTGAAAAAAGGGGGGGAAAAAATCAATTTTAAGAATATAAAACAGCAGTTTATTGCCTACAAACCAAATTGCACTATAATGGAGATGATTGCCTATAAACTGTTAATCCAATCAATAAGTACGAACATAATATTAAACTTACTCAACAGTAAAATATGCATGCTTTAGTAATCTCAGTTAGACACACTAAAAAGTATTAGCTTGTAAAATGGAAATGGGAATGCAAGTAACCAGAGGTTCTACTCGTCAGATGAGGCCAACAATGGCTTCACAGGTGGATTGTAACTGACGAATCAAGAAAGACAGAGGGGACTTAAACAACTCACAATCAGTAACATCACAGAACTAAAAAAGGTGAAATTTCCTAATTCATCGTGGTTAGAACAACTATTTCTGGCGCATTTAAAAAACAATGTATGTGCCATTAATTTACCTTTCCAGATAAGTGCTTATATAGATGAGCCAGAAATAGAGGTTCCTTGCAGACAATTTAATCCAATTTTACTCTTTAGTTTGAGCGCTAATTCATGCACTATGGCAACTAGTAAAAGGAAGAGCTGTTCGATTTTTGTTACACTTATGGGAACAGATATTGGTAGCAAAAATAATGATACAGCCTAGGCTAAAAATACTTAATGAAACTTATTCAAGCAAACAATTAAGATGAGAATACTAGGAAGAGACAGTCTTACATAAATAGAGAATTATTAGGAACAATGATTATTGTGAGTAAATAATTGAATTTCTGCCAGCTTAGTGCTGAGCGACCTTGATGGGTTAATCAAGTTGTGAAGTGAAGACGTTCCTTTCAGAACCGGTTCTACCACCTCCGGTTAAGAACCTCTTATTAACACAATTTAACGTTATTTTTTTGAGTAAATTGGGTTTGTATTATACAAAGTTATTTAAAAGTCACGCACCACTGGCCATGAGAGGGGTGGCCATCTGAAATTTTTGAGTTGCCCCCCGCCCTCCCCCCCCCTAGGGGGGGGGTTAAAGAACTGGAAAGTACCTCAAAAAGTTTCCCCCTCGATATGAGGAAGGACGCCACAAACCGCAAGTCGATATCGTAATCAGAACTGAAGTTATGGCCAGTGGTGCATGACTTTTCAATAACCCTGAATATTTTAGGGTCCATGTAACATTATCAGCTCCGAGAAGTCTTAACCTCCAGTTAAATTTTAACAGGTACTAATTTTAAATTGGAATGAGAGGCTGAGGCTTTAACAAGAGGTAATAGAACTAGGCCTCAGTCAGTAAAATAAGACTGATTAATATTTCAACAACTCGTTGATGCAATATTTACCGCTTTGTTATTTAGACCTAAAATGAGCGAATCACCAAAATTGAGCAAACTTTTAGACCGAATTTTTTTCTGTAAAACCTTTAAACAATTTGCCACTTCAATTCACTTTCAAGATCAAGACATTTGTACAAAATACTCATCAATGACTGCAATAAAAACCGCGTATCTCTGATTTTGACATTGCAAACCTCTGCTTTTCTTTTAGTACTTAAAAAGAAATCGAAAGCAAAATTTTCTGAAGAGCTTCTTTGTAAATTTTCTTCTGTCATTTAAAAATATTTTCAAAAATTTTCGGGGAACTATTTTAGCTGCTTAGTTACCTTTAAAAAAATTAAGATATGAAAATTAATTGAATGCTGCGATAGAGATACGCATTTTCAACTTCAGGCATTGATACGGTACATTAATTCCAATTTATGACAAGTAATTGAGTTTCACTTAAGCATATCTTTGAAAAGTATGAGCAAAAGTAGAAATTTGTAAAGCAGAACTTTCTTCCAAAGATTTTTTTGATTGATGCCACTTGCAATCAAACAGCGGAGCTTTAACAGACTGAAATACTTCCCTGAGTATCAGATACTTTGACCTTGAAATTTGTTTATATGCTTTTGAGGAAAACACTCCTGACTGCTGTAAATTTTCGAAGACGAGGTGAAACTCAAAAACGATCAAAAATTGACTTGAGTTAGATACTCCTAAAATAATATCCTAGGCCATCTCAAAATTATTGAAGGGCTTTCATAACATGAAACAAAACTTAATTAATATTTGTCATGTTCAGTACTCAAATTCTTAAACGTAATTTCAAAACCAAAAAATGCAAATTTAACAACACCAAAATAACAATAGACTGATAACTAAAAGAAATATAAAAGATAATTTTGGGAAATGAATTTCACAGCACCGTTACCCTGTCTTAAAATAAAGATACCAATTAAATTGAATGCTATTTGTACCGATAAAATAAAAATTGCGACGAAATAGAACGAATTATTCTTTTTAGGAGCTGAAGGGTGGAACATAGCCTCCAAATTGCTGTTCCAAAGCTTTGGCAACTGAAATTGTCAGATGGTCATTGAACTTAGTGGCTGCAACCTGAAATTTAGAAAGAGAGAGAATCATGAGTGAACAGCTAAAAATCAAGGAGGTTCTTCGAAATAAATGTAAAGGGGCAGTGTTTGAAGAATTCTTGGGCAAAACGGTAGATAGTTGGATACTTCTCTTCTTTCAGGAAAATAAATTTTCTGAATTTTTTCATCATCAAAAGCTCAGATGCACATTTATGACCATCAATGAGAAACACACACAGGATGTCTACGGAAGGTTTACTGTGGATTCTCCTGATATTTTGAATGAAATTTCCCGGTTGTTTGCGCGAATAAATTGACTGTCGTTTAAATTTAAAAACCAACATATTTAATGAGTTGGGTCAGGTGTTTAATTTTTACATATGCTGAACTGCAAGAAGTTGAAAAATGCTTGATGCACTATAGGAGTATCCTGATCCATGACTGATATTTTTCTGTTTTTCCTAATGGTACACATCCTGCACACAACTATATGGTACAAATACAATTTGGGTAATTTTTTGGTTAGACGCCGAAAATTACTAACTGTAAGCTCATAACTTTGGAATTAAAAAATATTAAGAAAAAAACAGAAAATATCTGAAAAGAAGACACCGTGGCTTGCTGACAACCTCAGAGATTTTGAGAAATTGCCATACATGACACTAAAGCACTGCTAGATGTTCAGGTGCCCACAGGTTGAAAAAAAATTGTGAGGTTGATAAGTGACTACACTTTGAAGTTTCAAACAAGCGATATATTTTTGAGATACCTCACAAATTTTTGACACAATTCAAAGCTAAAAGAAACAATCTGAACTATCTGAGAGCTGTTCCGACCGAACACTTTGGCCTACAGTTATTTTAAATGCACAGTCAACTCTTCTCATCTTGTTTCAACTTTGGGGGGGGGGGGGCTACTCAACTTAAAAAGTCATAACTTCGATAGTATCAATAACACTTACATTTGATTACCACTTACAAAATTAGATGGGTACAAAACCCTCTACGACTTTTTTTCTAAGACAAGACTGAAAACTTGACTCAATGATATTGCAATAACTTTGGACTACAATTTTCAGTCAGGACAGCCTGCATGATAGTTAAAGGTGACTTTCTTAAATTTTGAACCGCATCAAAATCTGATGAGATATCTTAAAAGTTATAGTGAGTGTAAAGCATAACAGTGTTGTCACCTATCGTCCACATAATTTTTCTTCAACGTATAAGCAATATATACCTAGGCACTTGGCAATGCTGTGGTGTCATAAATCAAAATGTCTGATGTCTGACACACTGGTTTAGGATTGCTTTTTAGATAGGTGTCTATTATGAGGATATTTTTAGGTTTTGTCAAAACATCTTTTTTACTTTTTAGCTGCACCTCTTACGGTGTGGGATCACTATTTGGTTCAGGCAAAGAAGTGGAAGTACCTGAAAACCAACAGGAAGGCCTTTTGCAGTTAGACCCATGGGTACTTGCGTCACAGGCACCTCGAGAACATTGAAAATAGCCCAATAACCAAAATTATAGGGTCTGAAGAATGGTGTGTAGTGAAGGCCTGCAGTGTGCGGAGCAGATGGGAAAATCAATACACCATCATCACCTAGAATTTCCTGTTATAAGCAAATTTTCATGATTAAATGAGGAAACCTAAAATTTTTATTAATAGTTCAAATAGGTGGGATGGTCTGGTTTTTCTTTAAAACTTAGCCTGAGATGAATTTGAGTTGCATTTGCTCATCCGATTTCTTGGGCAACTTCTCAAAATCTGAACATAATTGACAGGATTTAGACATTCTACCACTCGAGTCTCAAAGCTCTTTTATTTAAAACCATATTCTAGATATATGTTGCTACTGCTTTTTAAGTACTTATCAACATTGGAGTAATCATCGATTACAAAGTCTCATTTTAGGTGTGCAACAACAAAACAAAAGTCTTGAATAAACCTTAAAATGCGGAGACAGTACGCAGAAGAGACAATTTGATCCTTTGTGGATCAAATCGAGGATCAACCGGTCTTCCTAGCATATTTTTCCACCAATTTACAGTTCAAAAATTTAGTTCTTTATGACAGTAGGGTAGGTAGTTCAGAATGACATGATTTTCATGGGGAAAAAACAAAATTGAGCCACATTTCAGTGTGGCATCAATTATCAATTCATCGATATACAGTCAACAAATGAGGATATTCACCCATGACTTTAAAAAAATACTAATCTAATATTTTAGCTTTGTTTGAGAGCTTTTCATACAAAATCAACAAAATTTGACATTCAAGCAAAGATGACTGATGGTCACCTTACCGAAAGTTCAGCTTTCAATTTTTCGGTGGCTTCCTCTGCCCATTGTGCTGGCACTTTTGGCATGTATGTGTCATCGATTAATTTCATTATAGGTGGAAAAGTGAACTCTGATTTTCCAATTAGAGTCTTCGCGAACTCGGTGCGGACATCTACGACTCTCTGAAATAAAAGGGAAAAAATTAGCCTAAAGTATTATTTGTCAAAAGGATTGATTTAAAGTGAAACCAAATGGAATGCCTATGGTTTTTCTTTTTTAAATTTAAAAATTATAGTGCTGTAAAAATAGGATCTAAGCCTGTTACTAGTCAAGGCATATCTCAAATAAGAAACCACTTTTATGAGAGTGGACGAGAGAGATGAAAACTCCATACTTACGATTCCCTTACTTTCTTTCACGCTCCCTTGATTTTTTTTTGCTTTTTCCTGTCTCAAAAATTTCGAAATTCCCTGACCTTTGAACAAAACTTCTGATTAATTTTTTTTCTTTTTATTAACTGCGCTGACTTGTGCTAAACTTTGGAAAAAACTTTTTTGGGGATGTGAATAATAGATAGGCACTATCACTCTCGAATAGCACTGGCTGAAGCTGCTGTACAGACGCGCTACCCTCAAAATTCCCTAACTTTTCAGGTTTTCCAGACTGCCATGAAAACGCAATACAAATGGAAACAAAATGCAATGTTGAAAGGTAGTTACATCCTTTTGTCAGGAAAACAATAATTCAAGTGCATTTTCTTTCAAATACTCACAAATTGATTCTTTGATTGGACAAGACATAAATTGCCTTCATGAAAGAGTTGCCTCTGAAACAACCAATTCTCTGTTAACACAGTTGAATTTATGGACGCGGCAAATATAGTTTGAGAGTAAAAATGCCCTCTAATATACCTCATTATTTCCAAGAAGACTGGCGAATCTTTCTCCTTCCTTGGTCATCCAGTACCGCCACAATGTGAAACAATGTCGGAAGCCTGATAGCTGGATTTTGACTGCTGGCCTTCCGGTTGCTTCCGATACGTAGTCAACGGCTTTTTTAATGGCTGCTTTCACCTCAGAGCTTACAGGACTAATTCTAGGATCTAGTGGCTCCTCAACATAATAAAACTTAATATCCTTCACATCCACAGTCTTGTCTAACTGCAACCGTTTGGCCGCAGCAGCGACTTCCTCCGTTTCGGTATGGAATAGAATTTTTGTGAGAGGAGCAAGGTCTTCTGCATGTTTTACCATCGGGCCAGCGCAAACCATTGTTCTATCAGGCTCACCTGGAAAATCATAGAAACAAAGAATTTTATAGTGAACAGAACCAGATATACAGAAAAATAGCATCAGGGTCCCTCAACGATTACCTTTGGAAGGGTTCAGAGAAATAACAAACTCCTCAGCAGAATGGAGAATTTGCATGCAAATTTTTTATTGCTTCATCTGAAAGTGCTTAAAGAGCTGATTTTGCAGTATTTTTTATGATTGATTCCTGATATTGGAAACAGCAAAAAGATAGATTTAAAAGTAAGGAAATGTACTGCTTAGTGACGTCATTTGGCGGCTTTTCCCATTTAAACATATGTATTTCAGCAGATTAGGTTATCGTGTTATATTTCCTCTAAAAATTGTTCAATTTAGGAACCAAGGGTATCCTCGTACTCAGTTCACTCAGTAGTTTCCACGTAGATACGCAATTCATGAAATTTCAGACCCCTGCAAATTCTCCATCCGGAAAGAAAATGCAGTAAATAACGATATCATACATACGAGTAATTTTTGTTTCGGATGAAACTAATCCCGCCATGGAAACCATTTCTTGCAGCACATCAAAAAAGGATAGTAAGAATCAAATTGGCAGAATTAGGTTCTCATTGAGGAATGTAATTATAATATTTATTGTTATTTAATTACTGAGACTTTTTGAAATTGTAAATACATCAAATAATTTGTGATCAAACTCTGACAATACAGGAGCTTTAGAAATAATATTTATGGCGACCAGCAACCAAACACATTTTGCTTATTAGGAGTTGACTGCTTGAAAATGACTCTTCTGTCATCATTCATAAAAAAACAAAAAAAATAAATTGGGGGCGTTTTAGGTATTCTTACCTTTACGGAAGGTCATTCCCTTGGTACTGATAAGTCCAGTGGTGGGTTTATGAGAAAATATACCACAGTAAAAGGCAGGCATTCTGCAGGAACCACCAATATCTGTTCCCAGACCAATTGGGGAGCCGCATGCTGAAACGATTGATGCTTCACCACCGCTAGATCCTCCAACGATCCGACTGGTGTTGTATGGATTCACTGTCATGCCATATATGTTGTTGCGCGTTTCTGTCCATAAGTTAAGCTCAGGTACATTTGTTGCACAGAGGAGAATGGCACCGGCATTTTTGCATTTTGCCACAATGTCTGCATCTTCTGTTGCTTTTACACCTCGTCTTGAATTCAGCCCGAAGGAAAAGCTTAGGCCTTTGAGGGAAGAGAGAAAAAATTTAAATAAAACCATTGGTAAAAATACATACTTAATTAATATTGGTAAAACTGTTTTCTGTTGAGACAGCTCAGTGAACATAGTTGTACATAGCTGCTCTATTTTGAAATAGTATGAGGAGTGAGTCTACGGTAATTTGTTAACATGTTTTAAGCTGAACTTTTTGCAGAATAATAGAATTAAAAAAGCGCAAGAGAGAGGAAATTGAAATTATAGTTTGAGACACCCAGGTTATCTGTTGGTATCTTGGATGTAAAATTTTAAGATGGAGACAGACATAATTTTACTGTCCTGAGGTTCAAATGTTATAGATGATGTTCAAAACTCACATTTCAGACATTACCAGCTCACACAGCTTTTCATGGATTTCTGAGGATTTCTGAGGATTACTGTTGAGGGTTGAACAAGCGTTTTTAAAATCACAACATTTTAACAAACCTTTCCCAGCAGTGCTCTCTTTGTTCGAGAAGGGTACACCTAAAAATGGCTTTTCTTTTTCAAGTTGGTCGACAGACAACGAAGTGGATCTGAGAAAAGCATCAACATCCTTGGCTTCTTGGATGGCCTCTTCAAACCGGTTGTCTACAACAGCATTCAGCACATTATTGACTTCTTTAATCCGCTCAATGAAGGCACTTACAACTTCTTCTGATGAGATCTAGAACATACAAATGAAGACGGAGATAGTAGCAATTATGCAGAGAGATTTACATATTATTGGGTTAGCCTCAGTGGTATAGAGGTCATGGCAGTTTGCTGCCAACACTGAGGTCCCGGAGGTGACTGATATTTAAGGACACTCAAATATCAGTCATCGTGACCATGGATGACTATGCCACTCCAACATCCTGAACCTTTGAGGTAACCAGGTGTGGGAGGAACATAGTCACCCAGTAAGTAATCCGTCTGCACTGTTCAACTGGGTTCTGAAAAAATCGGTGATCACTCGTATTGTGCGCGACCGCCGGTGCTACTTGTCAGTGGAGATTGAAACAACACGGTCCAACTTGGTGGAGGCATGGCCGTGCTCCGAAAATCTGTGCTCTGCAGCATCTGTCATAGTCTTTGATAAGGCCTACCGTTGGCTATCAGACAGCTGCTGAGCCTTGCAGGAATACAGAGTAAACAGAATGTGTCAATAGTACAAAGTTAAGGAGCACAGTCCAACTTCGGAGTGCACATCGGCAGGGTTCCTGGAACTTGCCTTGGCCCCTTGAGGGTACCTCGCCAGTAAGCCCGGCCATCACATAATATGATTTCCATGATAGACTCATTATCAACAGTAGATGTAATTCAGCAAAATTATTTAAGTGAATGACAAAAACACAAGGGCCAATTTCTGAGGGAAAGGTTGGAACCCGATGAGCCCAATGAGGAGGCCTATGATGTTTTTCACATCTCCAATAGTTGAAATGCAGATGACTTGAAATGAAGTCTCCATAGAAAATTTTGAAGGCTCTCTTCTTGTAATTAGTAATTTGCTTTACTTTGAGCTCCCTTCAAAAGAGAACCATGAAATTTCTAGAGAACTTATTAAAACTCTAAGAGCGATGCTGCAGTAACTCACCTCTTTCTTCCTGATTTTTGCTGCTAAAGTGACTGCGCTATCCAACAGAAAACTTTCTTTCACCGGAGGAATCTTCTTCACTTTAGAGTCATCATAGATGAAACTGATGATAAAATCAACAACCCAGTCATAGGCAATCCTCAGAAACAGTAAGAAGTGAAACAGCAAACTGCGGAAAAATTTTTTGGCACTCATACCATTCTTTTCTTTTCTTGACTAAAACAGAAAATGCACGAAACATCAGTAAAGCGAGTAAAATATGAATTCTTCACACGGCTGAGAAATACTGTTGGTAGAGCTCAATTATTGATTATTCATACAAGATAAAATTCAGGTCTTGCTTTTATAATAATAATCGATTAAAAGTCATCTGTATGCTACTACTAATCTATACTTACTCTTGGAGCTGATCAACGCTCAACTTTTATCTTAATATGTGATGAGATAATGAGACTTCTCGGATACCTGCAGTAGTCTTCATGGCATTTAAATGGAAGAAAAAGAACCAACTCGAATTGTACAAGTTTTAGGAGTTGCTACGTGGGACGGAAAAGGCCTCCATATTCACTGAAGAGGGAGTGTTAAATTAATTTTATTCAAGCAAAATTATCGGAATTTCACTGATGTAAAGAGAAATACTTATTCCTAAAACTTTTGAAAAAGTAATGAAAATAGCATTTTTTAAAGGCTTTGATGGGGTGTAAATCAGATACATTTCTGCAAAAGAAGTCTATATAATGGACTCAATGAAAAAGTACATACTTGCAGTGTGAGTCTTCCATTGATTCTGCAAATAAGTAAAAACGCTTACGCATCGTTGGACTTTAAATTAATCTCAGCAGGGGAGTGGTATGATGTCATTAGATTGGTACGAAAACTATGGGCGAACTCAGCAAGAAAACAGCTTCTTTAACTTTAGGGTGACTTCTCCATCTCTTAACGTAGCATAACGGCTATCAGTAAGAGTTTTCATTATGTACCACCAATTAATTATCAATTAATTGGACCTTAAGGCTGAGATCGAACAGATAAAGGCACATAAATAATTTGATAGTGCCGGTCCATGAGGTGCAAAGACTAAGAGCTTGCCGTGACAAAATGAGTAACATCCGAAATGCTAGCTCACAAGCTCAAAACGATGACTAAGCACAAAAGGAATAGTCCACAGCAGGTCTCATCCCATTCATAAAAAATTCATCATCGGATCATTCATCATTTCACGCCTATAGGTGCTAATTGACAAAACAAATCAGCTGATGGCTGATGTGATTTATCACTTGTGTGATAAGTGCTTGCGAGAGTTATAAAACTAAAGCCTGCTCGAATAGAGTAACTTACCTTTGATTCTGACATATTAATGAATGCTTGGCTGGAGCAACTTTGTTGATCAAGTATTTTAAACTATAGTAATAAAAAACGCTGATTCTGATCGAATGAGTATAATGAATCAGCGAATGAACGAGTGACCTACGGCCACACACAGTTGCACGATGTCGAAAGATGACACGAAATGTACGGGTACGTGTTGATAAATATCACACAATCATCGAGCGAAGTGCGTATATTTTCACAAAAAATTGATTGGAAGATCGGAATAAATGGTACACGGGAATTAAAGGTGAAAAGAGCAAAAAAGTCAAAAAACTGCTTCAGGGTTATCAGCACGATCAGCCGATGTAAACAACAGATGCACAGATGGCGGACTCCAAGGTTACCAGCTGGAGACAAGAGCGACATTCCCTGACCTCACTCACTCTCGCCTTCAAAAAGGCTAAAATCCCCAGGAATTTTAAATGCTTATGCGTCGTCAAAATACAATAGAGGCCTTTAAATTTCTATTATTCGATACATACATAAAGTCGCGATTATAGCGCCGCCTCGCGCTCTGCGACGCCCAATCGCCATTGCCCCCTATCCTCCCAGAGATCATCAGGCAATTGGCACCTTCTGATCTCCTCCTCCACCCCTTGTCGCCAACCTTTCACAGGACGTCCACGCCGTCGCCTTCCGGGAGGAACCCAATCGAAGACCTGCTTGGGCAACCGATCATCTGCCATCCTTCGCACATGTCCATACCAGACCAACTGCTTGGACCTGATATCGTGCACGATGTCCTTTTCCACACCCATTATCTCGCGTACCCTTTCATTGCGGATACGCTCTATTATTCGATGCCGCGATTATTGTAACGGGAGTTGGGATAATCGCGCCAAACAGTGCATCTGGCGTTAAAGTCTTTAAACGTAGATTAGCTCCTGCAAGACTGTAGGAATACTTCACGTATTGCGCCAAACAGCGCTGTCGGCGCACGGCCCATATCAGCGCCTACAAGACTGCATAAATACTTCTCGCATTGCGCCAAACGGTCAGTTGGCCAGAAACGCATATCAGCGCCTACAAAAATGCATAGGAATGCTGTTGGACTACGAGTTAGTGATGGCGATTCTTCGACTGAGAATCGATTCTCCTGGATCGATCTGAATCGGCTAGGGAGAATCGATCCGATTCAAAGATCGGGTCAAAAGAATCGATCTTTCAAAAGATCGATCCAACGATCCGATCTTTCCCGCCGATCTGAACTTTCAAAATGAGCCAATAACATATGTTTAAATTTGTCATGTGACGATTCTGAATCGATTCAAGATCGTCACGTGACGATCTTTTAGTACATCGTGGAGTGGATTTGTAAACGTATAATGGATGAATATAAATCATTTGTCTGATAATAGTTGATCACAGAATAGTAATCAGTGTGTGGAGATTTTTGATTGAAATCGATCCTATCTAGTATTTTCATTTTCTCCGATGGAATCGTGATGTGACGATCCGATCTTCCCGATCCGATCTTCCCGATCCGATCTTCCCGATCCGATCTTCCCGATCCGATCTTCCCGATCCGATCTTTTCCGATCCGATCTACACGAATCGTCACGTGACATAAGATCGTTCCCGAACCGTTCCGATCCGATTCGATCCGATCTTTTGTGTATAATCAAAAAGAGCTGAAAAGAATCGGAGAAGATCGGGACTCATAGGAAGGAAATTGAGCAGGATTATGTGCGATAAGCTCTCAGAAAAAATGTTTGTCCTCATTTTCAATCAAGTTGATAGGTTCTAGGAGAAAAGAAACCAAAAGTTAGAAATGATAGAAACCGATTCTTTCGATCCGATTCTAGGTTGAAAGAATCGATCCACGCGAAAGATCGGCGGGAAAGAATCGATTCGATCTTATCGATCTTTTGGTCTCAGAGAATCGATCTTTTGAAAGATCGATCCAAGAATCGCCATCACTACTACGAGTCATCATTTTTTACTTTCTGCTCAAGTTTTTACCGTAATTAAAGGGGAAATATGTATCCTCACTGTAACGATTTATAAACTCAGATGAGATTTAATGTTGTTTTTCAAATTAAAAGATAATAGAACCAACGAAAACTTCGCGTCGAATTTTTCGATACTCTCATTTGAGATCATTTGGGTAAATTCGCGGAAACTTTTCAGAAAAACTGTGTGTAGCTTTTTAAGAACATATATTAAAAATAAAACATGAAAGTGGTGCATAACGTTGCAATCAGAGATAAATATAGGTACGCTTTCTTTCGGGTGTACCCGTCCTGTTTTGAATCCATCCATCTCTTAAAAAACTTGAACATGGTTGCTCTACGATTTTTTACGTGTGGCTTTTTTCAGTGATTGGTGGCCAGAGGCCGCACTAGTTTGCTTATTAAATGTCTATGAAAGCTCTCTAGGCCATTCCTGCTGCGAGGGCTATCCATCGAAGAGAGGCATGCCCGTAAATAAATAGGGAATGAACAGTATTCCGCGATGTAGCTATTTATCACTAACTACCAAGGTTGCCAGATTAACACTTCCTCTTTGAATATTGAATATTCGCGCAAATATGTGAGTTTTCAGTACCAGAAAAATTCGCGCAATCCTATGCATATCCAAAAAGGTAAAAGAGGGGGCATTTGCACAATTCTATTGCAGCCGTTTTTAAACGGAGTCGAGGATCTATTTTGAAATGGGAATTTCGAAAAATAACGTACCTCGTAAATAAGTACACCAGTACATGTGCATTTGCTCAAAATTCTCTTTGTAAATCGATCCTGTCTGTTTTTAATGACAGTATTATATTCGGTAACTAGACTATATTTTTCCAGCGAATTCCTGAAAATAAATAAAAATACAGAAGAGCTGATCAGCTGACGTATGCGCTGTTGGCGAGAAACGCTGAGGAGCGCGCGGTGTGCGTAATTAAACGCGCGCCGGATCAAATGAAGGGGCCAGAGCGAGATACGCATTTCTGCATTTAAACTCGCGAGATACGCGAAAAAATTTCATAAAAACAGGGATACACAATGACATGAACAATTATTTTCCTTCAAAGCACCCGAACATATGTAGGTACTCATTGTAAAATTATTGAAGCTCTAGCTCAGTTTTACCATTGCAAAAAAATCGTCAAAATGGGCAAAACGCAGGATTTTGGCCAAGGCCAAGGCCTTGCGCAACCTTGAAAAAAAATTTACATTTTCTTTCTTGAGTGAATATTTATTTTTGTAAGTGAAGTCAGCGATGTATAGGGTACCATTATCAAAATTCGGAGGTGACCCTTGTGTCACTTGGCGTCACATCTGTTGTCACGAGACTAAAGAATTCATTGACCAAATTTGACAAATAAATTCAACGTATTAAAGGCTGGGTTTTTTCGCAGGAAAAATATCGCATTCGAGTGCAGTTTCGATTTCAGTATCGAATGCGATATTTTTCCTCTAAAAAAAACCTGCCTTTATTTCGTCAAATTTCTTTGTCAATTGTACATGAATTCTTTGGTCTTATGACATCAGAAGTGCGATCTCAGAATTCGAAGAGAATGACAAGTAGCTGAAATTATGGAATGAATTGATGCGATATATCACACCGTGCGATATATCGCATCATTCGCACGTCGCTCTGACACAAAAAATGGCAATCGTCGAATCACCCTAAGAAAAAAAAATCGCCGGCGTTGCCGGCGCTTAGCTCGAAACTAAAGTTGTTTTAAAGGGCGAAACGATTAACTTGAATTGTCGCTTAAATTTTCTTCGGTCCTCAGATAATTCGACCAAACGAAATTTTACTGTTCGAAGTAGGAGAAATGAGTTCCCACGAGTTTTCATAGTGGTGTCTGCAGTATTTCTATCTTGCGCCGTGACATCCCCATCTCAGAATGAAGGTATATCTTGATACCACTATTCGAGCGTGAAGGAGCCCATTTTGCCTATACTGTGAGTTGAAGGCGAATCTCTACCTGGCGCGGCAATCTGTGCCTGAACAAACTTGAAAATGCGCGGCACCGAAACCGCACGCATGTTCACTTTCCACCCATGCTGTCATAGCATTGATTTACGCTTTGGTTTGAAAACAGAGTGTCGAAAAAAATACAACGTGTTTGCGGCCATGATTGAAACTTATCTGTTACTTGATATGATCCACTTTTTTTTTTATTTAACTTACGTTTTCAAACAAAACATCACTTTATAATTTAAAGTAATAAGAGTAGCACGTAACGCATACCAATACATGAAGCATTTTGGGGGGGGGGATTGTGAAGCGGTCAGGGGGCGTACCCCCTGGTATTAAAGTAAAAATAAAGTAACAGGAAACTCGACTACGAACTTGGCTTAATATCAAATTAAAAAAATTCGTCCACGTGCACATCAAATTTTAAAGTGAACGCGATTTGACTGTGCAGGGCGGACATCATCAGCCCATTTTTTTTTTTTAAATTTTAAATGAAATTTGAATTTCCGAAAAATAAAAGGGTTTGCTCATTTTACTACGAAAGAAATGAAGTAACTGACAATTAGCCTTCATTCGTTTGAATCTTATACGAGGTATAGGCAAAATGAGTTCCCTTGAGTATGAACAAAGGTGTCTGAACACTGGAAAAAAACACATCGGATCTAGCAGAGTCCAGACTTTTGAAAACATTGACAAGAAAATGCACTCTTGATTCAATCAGATTTAAGCTTAAATCAAAAGGAAATCCGCTCAAATTAAGAGGCTTGGTTCTTGATTTAAGCTTAAATCTGATTGAATCAAGAGTATTTTTTCTTGTCGATGTTTTTAAGAGTCTGGACTCTAGATCCAATGTTTTTTTTCCCAGTGAAGTGAAGGATCTCTATCTTGCGCCGTGATGTGCCCATGTCAAAATAAAGGTATATCTTGATACCACTATTCGAGCTTGAGAGAGCCCGTTTTGCCTATACTCTGAGTTGAAGGCGAATCCACCTGGCGGCAATCTGTTCTATCAAATGGCACGGCTTTGGGACTCCAGCGCGTAGTTGTGATGGAATTGAAGGTTAATTTACTTCACAAAATGCACAACCAACATAATATCGATGACCAACGAGAGAAACTGCGAATTTCCAGTGCGATGTTTCAAAATTTCCGCTCCTATTTTATTATTTCGAAGAGAAACAAGCCAAATTTATAGTTCATAATTTTTACAGAATAGTTTGCTAACCGGGAGGAAAAATCCGGGAAGCTTTCTATAAATTATACTGACAGGTTCTCAAAAGTAAAACTTAATTATTATAGGAAGTCTGCAACGTTGCATTTGGAGATACGTGGTTTCGCACTTTGGCCGTCGATATGATCTCCAGAACTCTCTTTGACGCGAACAATAATACATTAACCAAACTTG